GTGCTAGCCTAAGTCTCTGTTCCTCTTTCTAAAATGCTGCTAGCATCATCATGAGGCCTCTCTCTTGTGACCTCGTCTAGTCATAATTATCTCCCAAAGGTCCTGTCTCCAAATATTAATAAATGAATTTACAGGTTAAGTTTCTGACATGTGAAATTTCAAGAGGCGCATTCAAACCACAACAGGAAGGTTTTGTGAAAGAATGCAGAGTGGACTATACCTTAAAACATGGCCAAGATTTAGATCAGGAGTTTAAAACTGATATGTAATGTCCTTTTAAAAAGTAAATTTAAGTGCTCTTAGATGTGCATAAGGCCTTACCTATCTGGCCTGGGAATTAGCAGTTCCTTGTTTAGGTCACTAGTTCACATTTGGCTAGCTTGAGCATGGAGGTTTTGTGTTATTGAGTCCATCTCTCTGAGTCTCAATCTTGTCATGTGTAAAATGGAATTGCAATAATAGTTAAGTGGTTAATGTTGTAAGGGTTAATTTGATTCTTTTGTGTAAAATGCCTAGGTCAGGGCCAGCACATTAAAAGTCTCATGGAAGTGTTTGCTACTACATAGAAGTATTAACATGCTAGACTTGGCTAACATCCCCACCCCGACTGCCACTTCTGTTTATCTCTGTTTAGGAGCTGTACGAGACTGTAGCACAAGACACAGTATCCCCTGTGCTTGACACAAGTCAGAGGCTGGAGAGCTGCACCCCTCGGCTCACCTCCAAAGCTGTCTGTGTGCTCTGGGATCTTCTCAGGCAGGCTCCCCAGCCAGCACAGGCTCTGCTGGAACTCCTGTTTGGGGAAGATGATGGCACTGGCCTCCATCATTGGCCTCTGCAGAAGGCACTTGTGGGCCTTATTCGAAAGGGGCTGCAGGCTCTGCAGGGCCCTGCCTCAGGACCCCCTGAAGATGTTGATGCCATTTACAGAGGCTTGCAGACTCTGCGTTGCTCTGCAGAGTCCCCTGGGGCTGAGTTGCGTGCCCTGTGTGAGGAACTACTGGAGGCCTGCAGGACCGAGGGAAGTCCCCTAAAGGAGGAACAGCTGCTTGGCTGCCTAGTACACAAGGCCGGACGGGGCTTGTTGTCCCTTTATAGCCACACCTATGCAGAAAAAGTCCTGGAAAAGCCACCATGGGCCACAACATCAGGGAAAGGTATGTTCCTTTTGCCATTTATTTATTTATTTAATTTTGATAATTCTGATATGCCCAGCCTCTCTAAAGTTCCTCTAGACCGGTGATGGCAAACCTTTTAAAACTTTCAATGAGACCAAATGGGCCACTGTGGTACATGTGCCATAGGTTCACCACCACTGTTTTAAACTGATGCTCATTTGTTGAGGACACTTACAGGAGAACCTAAGCAAAACTGGGCAAGACTCTTATACATTTTACCTATCACCCAAGACAGAAGTGATGGAGGGAATAGTAACAACAGTAACAGAAAAGAGCTTTGCAGAAGCTACTAAGAGAAGTAAAGTGTCTTTAAGATAAAGCATAGGAAACTTGGTTTCAGTTTTTTAAACAATCGAGTCTCATATCAGTTGATTTTTCGAATGGGCTTTGGTTTAGAAAAAAAGAGCTCGTGATGTCCCAGGAAACCATTTCTGGTTTGTGTTCAGTCTTCCCAGATCATCCAGACCCTGAGCAGACAATGCTGACACTGTTCTCCACACCCAACCCAGCCCAGGCTTGGAAAGTGACTTTTTTCTACTGCCTGAGCAACAGCAAGCACTTCCTCGAGCAGATTCTGGTAAATCAAACTTACTGCATTCTCCATCATGGAAGGACCCTGAACTCTTTTCCTGGGCTTTTTTCATTCCTTTCCTCCCTGCTACTCATTTATTTGACACATGTACCTTAGTTAGTGGCAAGTCACTGGTTCTGCCACTGCCCCACAGGAGACGAGGCTCTGGGAATCAGTACTAGTCATAATTATAGTTGTAGTCACTTTCTGTTAGTCCTTTGGCGGGGAATAAGATGTCAGGTATGTCTCAGCTTTCTGAAAGGTGTAAGAGAAAAAACCACAGTAGCACTGCATGACATAGCTGAGGGGGCAATTACTGTAAATGTTTTCTTTTAAGCTAGGCATAGTGGCACATGCCTATAATCCTAGAATTTTAGAGGCTGAGGCAGGAGGATTGCCATCAAGGCCAGCCTGGGATACATAATGAGTTCAAAGCCAGCCTGAACTATATAGAGAGATGATATCTTAAAAAACAAAATCAAAAATGTTTCCTTCCAGATTGCCACTGAACTTAATTTCTGAATCTTGTCCTGTGTGTTGTGTACTGTGCTAGGAGCTAGGATTACATCAGGAGTCATTCCTTGCCTCTGAGAGCTTCCATTATCATCTTGTGCTTCTGTGAACATTTATTGTTTGCCACTGCTCACTTTGTGATTATCAGAAATCTCCCTACTGACCTCAATAGCTTCTTTGCCTAATAAGCAGGATGCTGGAACTCTCTCCTTCTAGTCCACATTGCAGCCTACAGTGGTCTTCTTTGGCTTACAGGTAACAGCACTAACTCTGTTGAAAGAGGAAGACTTCCCAAGCCTTGGCTGCCTACTGGATAGAGAATTCAGGCCTCTCAGGCACCTGCTCGTGCTCCTAGGCTGGACACACTGCCAGAGCCTCGAGTCAGCAAAGCGGCTGCTCCAGACCCTGCACAAGACCCAGGTAATGCCCACTCCTGACTCTACGCTGGTTGCTCCTTAAGTGAGTGCCATTTTGCTTTGAGATTCAGCAGAATGCCAGGTTGGTCACAGTCTCTGATACCAGATACCTAATTAAGCATCTTCTTCCCTACTGAAATAGGACCAAGCCTGCGATGAGCTTCTGAGGGATGCCTGTGATGGACTGTGGACCCACTTGGAGGTCCTGGAGTGGTGTGTACAGCACAGCAGGTATCGGCCTGGATGGCCAGCCCTTCCCACCATCCAGCACACCTGACCCTATGCCTATGTGTGGGAATTTCAAGACTTCTACATAAATGTTTTAAGTTGATGATGTTGACCAGTCATGTTGTTCCAGCTATTAAACTGGGGCGGGGGAGGAGGAGAAAGAAAACCTAGGTTAATGATTTTCTTCTCTGAGACCATCAGGCCATAACCAGAGGCAGTTTTCAGGATGATGGTTTAAAAAAAAAAAAAAAAAGCAACAACAATATATGTTACATTTCCTACGCACTTTGCTATATGCCAGGCATTGCTCTAAGCCCTTTACCTGGATGATCAAGCTTCACTACAACTCTATGAGGTAAATGCTGATATTATCATTTATTTGAAAGGTAGAACAGCTGAAGTGTGGAAGTGTTAAATAACTTGCCCAAAATTACATAGCAAGTAAATGTCATCCATATCCTTAGTCACATGTTACCTTGGATCATACTTTCATTCAACAAATGCTCACTGAACTGTATGTGAAGTCCTGCTTTTCCCTGAAGACATCCTAGCTCTGGGTTCCTCTCTCAATCTTCACTCACCTCACCAGCACTTTTTGAAGTAGAATCAGCGGAGGGGGAAGTGGTGAGGGGCCCTTCTTCAAAGTAACAGCCAGCAAAGTTTATGTGAGTTCAAAGCTAGGGAGAGTGTAGAAATTAGGAAACTGAAACTTCAGGTCCTTTCTAGACCCTACTTACCACAAAGGCCCCTTCTAGGTTCTTTCTAGACAAATGGAGTAGAATTAACAGATGTACCTCCCTGAATATAAATAAACAAGAGATTCTACCTCAGACGTACTAAATAGAGTCTAAGGAAGTCAAACTGTGGTTTTGTGGGCTGGAGAAGAATGGAAATAAAAACCAACTTTTATTTCTGCAGGACAATAATATAACCTGTCTCTCCTTCCAACCTCCCAACTTTCCCTTTCAGCAACCCCATACCAAAGAGAGATCTCTTGTGTCATTTACATGGTGGAGACAGCCACTCAGTGCTCTACTCTCTCCATCACCTTACCAACCTTCCAGCACTCAGAGAGGAAGAAGTTCTCAAGTTCTTACAGAAGATGCCAGCCAAGGACCTCCCACAAGAGCATGGTGAGGTGCTGATGGAATGATTTGGCCAGGATCCCCTCTTGCACATATTTACTCCAATGTAAGACTTATCTAGATCTAAGGTTTATCTGGCTGTCATGAAAAAGGCACAGCAGGTGTTCTTCAAATTATTGCTGTTAGCTCATGGGATGTAAGGCCACTCTTCCCCTTTCTTGATGAGATATAGGGAGTTCCCTGGGCACAGTCCCACATCCTTTATCCTATAGGATCATCTCAGAAACCACTGGCATACCCTCATCCCAGTGAAACAAAATTGGGAACTGTCCTCTGTATTCACAGCATTGTCCTTGAAAATTCTTGGTGAATGGTTTTGTGCCTCATAAGCTTTCTTATAGCACAAAAATGTGCCCTCCTTCCTCTCCTTCATTCTCTTTGGAAACATTAAGGGATTTTTCTGAAACAATGACAAACCTCATTTTAACTTTTGATCTTTGCTTGAAATTCAAAACTCTTATTTACAAGCTTGGTCTTTTTGCTGTCAAAATCCTATCATAGCATAGTCACAGGCTGCCTTACAAACCAGGGATGCATACATTTGAGAGAAACAGTCTTTCCATAGTCAATAGATATATCTCAGCCTGGATGTTGCTGTGCTTGACTTTCTAAAGGACCTACAATGGATTGCAAAATCAGTGTTACCATGTTCTGTAATTTTTTTCCTGGAAAGATATTTAAGAGATTTCCTGAAGGAACTAAAATTCTAGCCTTGACATATATATACAAAAGCTTTCCAAAGAAATATGTTGTTGTTGTTGTTGTTGTTGTTGTTGTTGTTGAATAGAAGGGATTTTATTATTTATTTTAAAGAAAATTCATACACCATTGATTATACAAAACTATTTCTCAGTGTAATTCTCTGTCCACTGAAGAAATCGGAATACACCATGATGAGAATTAGTAATGTCAAAACAAGTTCACTGGTTATAGGGAACAAATACACGTTTAATTGCTTGACACTTTATTGAATGCAGCAAAAGAGTCAGCATCTTTGCCTTCATTGTGCACAGGTAAAGCAGGAGCCAGGGAGGGCATGGCGGCAGTTTCCTTAGCAAGAAAGGTCCATGCCCCAGAGTCCTGCCGTGTGTGGGAAGACTACCCCATGTTCTGTCGGTTGCCGTAGCCCCTCGGATGGGTGTGCTTCCAGTCATCCCACTCGCGTGCTCTGTGGAGAACCTTCTCATTGTCCTCTCTTTCCTTTTCTTCATCTTCCTGTTGCTGAGCCACTCTTTTGAAATCAGCTGATGTTGCTTTGGCTATTCCCTGGTCTGGTAGTGCTCCACATTGCTGGTGCTGCTCGTACCAGTCACTCACGGTCATAGTTGCCAGACTTGGATAACCAGCTCCGAAAACTTTGGCTTGGGTGTTGTCCCGAGTGAGTATGAAGGATTTCAGGGGAGGTCTGTCCTGAAGAGATGAGTGAGAAGTTGATGCTTCTCTTGAAGAGTCTTTTTCTCTCAGAATCTTTATTTCCTGGTCAATGCACTCAACTTCTTCTAAGCTGATTCCAATCCACCTCCGAAGATGAAGGAGATAATATTCACGAACTTGCTCATCATCTGCTTGACCACTTTCCACAGCAGATTTCAGTGCAGACAACCTCTGCTCCACCTCTTTCTTCTGCTTGTATCTCTCTATTTTAGCCTTCCTCTGAGAAGCCATAGCAACAAGGTTAGCACAGGCCACAGAGGAACTAGCAGTGTTAATTTCAGCTGTGTTGTTCTTGGTTTTGGGCAGCTCAAAATCTGCCACGTGATAATAATGGCAATGAGTTAAGTAGTTTATAAAATATTCTCGAGCCCACTGTAAATGATCGAGGCGCTTGCTGGGGTTCACTTGTTTCATGGTGAGGGCTCCTTGAAACGCTGGCACCATCAGGTACTTCAGGTCAGTGGAGCAAATGTCTTCTAAATCTTCATTTCGGCTGAACAAATCGAGCTGTGATAACATTTCAGCAGCCTGCTCAAGTAGGTCTAGTCCCTTGCACACTTTATCCTGGATTGTCCTGGAGCCAGTGGGTTCATCCATTACTTCTACTTCCTCCAGAAGCTGTTGGCTGGATTCGAACAGCTCGGGAAGTCGAGGTAGCTGTAACCCATCTTCAGATGCTGCCATCTGGGAGCCAAAGAAATATTTAAAATCTGATCACTGGTGACCTGTGGGGACACACTTAGAACTTGAACTTGAAAAAGGCAAAAAGGAAGACTAGGGGGCTGGGGATTTAGCTCAGCGGCATAAGTGCCTGCCTTGCAAGCAGGCAGTCGTGAGTTCGGTCCCCGGTACCAGTAAAAACGAAAAAGACCAAAAAAAAAAAAAAAAAAAAAAAAAAGGAAGACTAATAGGGCTGGGACTAGGGTGCAAAACTTGACCCCTGGGCAACAGTGGCATGTAGTGGCATGAGACATGTAGGCTCCTGGAGAAAAGGAAGCAAAGAGGACTGAAAGTTGGTGTTGACAGAAAAAAGACCTGGAGGGGATAGAGGTCAGATCCACAGAAAGAGAGGGTAAGAGCCTAGAAGTACAGCCTTTCTTTGCTTCAGGCATGCTGGTTGTTTACACCTGAAAGAATTAACTCTGAAATTCTGCCTGTTTTGCTCTACAATTCAGATTGTGCCGATGCCCCAGCTCCTGAGCACCTGAACCAGTGTCAGAATCTGACCCTCTACCAGGGCTTCTGTGCCATGAAATATGCCATCTATGCCCTCTGTGTGAACTCACACCAGTACTCCCAGTGTCAGGACTGCAAAGACAGCCCCGGTGAGGACCTGGCCTCGGTCACAGAGCCTACAGAGGACTCGGTCCCCTCCCCAGGTAACGCACCCCCTATCCCATCCCTGACATATTGCTGACAAAGCCTGTCCCAGTGAGTGCTTTAGGCGGCTACCCTTTCTCACCATGACTGAGGTAGCCTTGATTTTATGGAGTTCAGTAATAATGCCAACCATTTATGAGCTCAATGAAACAAATAACTTGCTTATAATCACCTAGAGCAGTGATGGTGAACCTTTTAAAGCATTCAGTGATACAAACAGCCTACTGCAGCACATGTTCCATAGGTCCTACAGTGTTGTTTTCCACATGCTTTCCTTTTCTTTAACTATGATCCACTGTAGCAATGGCATTTCATATCATACTGTCAGTTTCTACCTAAGTATATGCTTTGTGTTTATCCATTTGTGTGTGTGTGTAAACAGTCTTAGGAAACAATACTTTTCTAAATGAACATCCTTGAGATTATTTTTGTTTTCTGTTCTATTTCATTCTTAAATGTAAGTCCTTAAGACAATTTCACAGGTTACATTATCCAGTGTGAAGATAGAGACGTAATGTCCTATCCTCTGTCATATTTTTTTTTTTAACCAGAATTCCTTGACTCCTGTGACTAGTGCTCAGTTCCTTTTCACTTCTAGCTTTGGAATAGACCCTCACATTTGAGCACGATCTATTTTGGCCTGCTGAGTAATTTAACCACTGATTAAAATAAAATAAGGAATAAAGAATCCACAGCCTGCCTTCATTCCTGGAACTGAAATATGGACTATTTGTCAGAGACGAAGAATAACATCACGTTTAAAAAGTGAAAACAATGCCAGGCATGGTAGTGCACACCTGTAATCCTAGCATTTGGGAGGCTGGAACAGGAGAAGCATCATGAGTTTGAGTCTAACCTGAACTACATAGTGAGATCTTGTCTCAGAAAACTAGTGAATGAGAGAATGAATGAATGAATGAATGAATGTGAAAACAAATGAGTGTTCAGGGTGCTCTTAAACAAATTAAAATAGCAGAATATTTCTGCCAATCACGAGACATGACTGAGTAATCACTCATATTTGCTTCTTCCTTCAGTTCCCTTAGTCATTAAAAACTAAATGAGATAAAGTTGTGAGTCTGGCAAGGGACTAATGTTTGTATTCTCCTTCCTGCTCTTCGCCTGCCTTTTCTCTTGCTCATGCTTCTTCAGGTGCTTCACATCTCTTCTCAACTTACCTGGCCAGGTGTCAACAGTATCTGTGCAGTCTCCCTGACTCTTTGTGCCTGGAACTTCTAGAAAACATCTTCTCCTTGCTCCTCATCACCTCTACTGATCTTCACCCAGAGCCTCACCTGCCAGAGGACTATGCTGAGGATGACGACACTGAAGGGAAAAGTCCCTTGGCTTTGAGGTCTCCACCAGAAAGCCCTCAGCATGCACCACAGCCTGAACAGAAGTCAGAACGGGGTTCCCTTGAATTCCCCAGGAACCTGGTTCACACGATACCAGGCTGTCTAAAACCACAGCCAAAAGACAGCTCCCTGGGGCTCCATGACAATTTCTTGGATCTAAAGCACTTTACTAATGGTATCAATGGATTCCTGGCTGATGAGTTTGCAATAGGGGCCTTCCTTGGGCTTCTCCAGGAGCAGTTGGATAGGATCAGCAGCCATAACGCCCCTGATATGGCAAGGCTTCTGGAAGGCCAGAGCTGCGCAGGAAGCAGAGATGGACTGCAGAGCCGCCTGTACCGGTTTTCCAAGGTTCTTTCTGAGGCCCAGTGGAGATATAAGGTGGTAACAAGCAACCAGGGCCCAGGTAAGAGAAGGGGGCAGAACTGGTAGGCCCAGAAAGGAGGAGGGAGGAAACTTGAGGGAAAGAGGTCGAAGTGCGTGAGAGTCTAATTCAGGGCATATGGCCATAGCCACCAATTCAGAGCCCTGTAGTAGTACTCCATGTCTCAGATGTTAGTGCACATCATCCCCTGCCTGCCTCCCCAGTCAAAAGGTCACACCTAAGTCTCTCATTCTCCTTATATTTACTGTTTTAGAGGAGCCACTTGCCCGAAGGTACCGACCCATTGCCACAAGGCACTCCACTCTCCGCAGGGGTCGTCGGACAAGAAGGAGCAGGGCAGGTAATCTAAAAATCTCTCCCCATACCTTGCTCTCTCTCTCTCATATGCCAGGCAAGTGTATATTGCTGCTTATCTAATATCTCCTTAGAGCCCATGGTCCAACAAAGCGTTGTAAGAATATCCTAATCCCACTCCTCTGTTAATTCTTTTGTTAATAGATTCTTACATAATCTTCCAGAAATTCTCCATCCAATACAAATGTACTGTATCCTTTCATATGTGCAATGCATGATGATAATACCTATATAGATAGGTTGGGTAATTTGCAACTTGCTTTTTTCAGTTGTATCCAGTTATATATACAGATGTATCACTCTATATGAAATTTTCCTCTCACTTTAAAGACTGCTTAGTATTCTATGTCATACAATGTTCATATATATATATATATTCATGAACATTTAAGTTTTGTCCTGTTTTTTACTATGAAAAGCAATGCTAACCAGGCATCATGGCACACTCCTGTAATCCCAGCTACTCAGGAGACTGAGGCAGGAGGATCAAAAATTCAAAGCCAGCCTGGGCAATTTAACAAGACCCTGTGTCAAAATAAAATGGCTGAAACTGTAGCTCAGCACTAGAGCATTTGCCTAGGATGTTGGAGGCCCTGTCTTCAATCCACAGCACTGAAAAAATAAAGCAAGAAAGAAAAAAAGCTATAGAAAACAGTATTGAAAACATCTAGGCATACTTACATATGCATTCAAATTCCTAGCAGAATTGGTAGGTCAGTGGTGTTTTTACATGAAATATAGATCAGTGTCACCAAATTGCCTTAAAAACTGTAACTACCAACTTTGTGTGATTTCCTGTTTTCACATATATTAGTCAACAATGAATAATACCAGAATTTCAAAAATTGATAAAACAGTGATGTTTAATGGCTTAATATTAACTTTTTTGGTTTGATTTTTTTTTCCAAATATTAGCTATGTATATTTTTCTGTGAGTTGCCTAATCGTGTTTAAAGTCCATTTCGCTCATTAGTGGGTTCATCTTTTTTCCTTTTGTTTTTTTGGGACCAGGAATCAAACTCAGGACCTTGCATTTGGCAGGTGGGCACTATACCACAGAGCTGTATCCCCAGCCCAAGCTTCATCTTTTCATTGAACTGTAGAAAGCTCTTTATGCATTAAGGAAATAGATTGCCATTGTGTACCATAATCTTTTCTCTATTTTGTCTTTTTTTTTTTTCCTTAAATTGTCCTCTCGTGCCTTTAAGAGCCAGCCCTATTCTTAGGACAGCCCTCCTAAACTGAGAGGGAAACTGCTGTACATCCTGCCAGACTACCCTGTCACAGCTGAGCACAGGGGAGCACAAACATAGGCCAGGACACTATTTTGTCTTTTGAATGAATTTTTCTTTGAGAAATTTAGTATAATATTATTATGCAGCAGGGCTTTTTACATGTTTAGACAATTTTCATTCTGACATTGGTGTTCATATTTTACACAATTCACAAGATATAGATTCCTGTGTGCTGAACAATACTTGGTATCTTGCGAAAGATGAGGCATGAGCAAAGCCTTTGCCTTGGTGTAAATCACTTGAATAACAAGTACACATGAAAAACTAAACTCAGATGCTACATGGAAACAGAAGAAATCTCTTAGAAGAGAATGCCAGCCTACAAAGTCAGGGAAAGACATTATATGAAATTGATTCCTGAACTAAGCTCCTAAAAAATGAATAGTCACTAGCAATCAGAATGGTGAACAGATTTGGTAGGGTGGGCACAGTGCTGAGAGAGAAACCTGGAAAAACTTTGAATATGGTTGCTAAGGCCCTGAAGCTGCTCAAGTAGTTTGTTTGGGGCAGGAGACAGAATTTGCATTGACTTACTTTGCCCAAGAGTTGAAACCCATCATCTCTTCCTCATAGCTGCCTACTCTTTCTAAAGGTCAGCCCGAGCAATGAGCCAAGAGAGCTTCCTTGCACAGTCTTCTTCGTCAAAAACCTTAATAAGGGACAGTAAGCCCATTAGCAAGCCCTAACACTTTAGGAAAGCTAGCCAATGAAAGATTTTCTTCCAGGCCTTTGAATGTAGTGGTCTTTAGCAGGCCAGGTCTCATGATTTAGTTCCTTACCTTTTCAAGTCTGAGAAGACCCTTTTCTTTATGTCACAAAATGTTGAAACAATTTGCATCCTGATGCTTCTTGGGTATAATAGATGTGATTTTGTTTTCTCAGTCTATCATTGGTGCTTGTTGAGCAGATGGTGGCCATTGACCATAGAAATAACTGGAAAACTCCTAGGGCTATAAGACAAGTTGCAGGCTGCAGCCTAACTGAGCTCTTAAACTTACCCTTTGCCCTTGAAAAAAACAGCATGTATGCCCAATATTCTTTGACTGTATCTGAATCTTACCTTTCAGTCCAACTTAGAAGTTAATTGAGTTTCTTTCTTCCTGATACTTCTAGATGGCCGGGACAGAGGCTCCAACCCATCCCTGGAAAGTATGAGTAGTGAACTGAGCACAAGTACTTCAGGTATGTAGGTCCCAGCTAGCTGGCAAATTTAAGCCTGCGTTTAGGAAAAGTGATGCTGCAGATGGCCAGACAGATTTCAGCTGGGAAAAGGAACCACTTTGTTTCACTCTCAGTTGAGGAACTCATCAGCAGAGAGAAAAGTGATTGCCCAACAAAAGTGGTTGGTAGTATATATATTTAGTATTCTGTGATGGTAGCATAGGTTGACGCTTCACTGGAGAAAACATCAAGACCCTTTTAGAGAAGGATTTTGAGAAGGTAAATGTGTGGTTGGAGGTAGCAGCCATTTGGTCTTTCCTCAGTTTCTCTTATGTCCTTGACCCTCTTGTCCTTGTGTTCCAACAGAGGGCAGTTTGAGTGCTGTGTCTGGGCGGAGTGAGCTGGAGAGCCGATCACAGCCACATCCACAAAGTTCATTTCTCCCCATGATGTTCTCCCCACCTGAGTCACTGCTGGCATCCTGTATCCTCCGGGGCAACTTTGCAGAAGCCCATCAGGTGAGCAGAGCCTTGGCTGCACCTTGTTCTAAGTAAAGAATGTTAAGTCAGCCCCCCAGGTGGCTGTGACACCCTGGGCCTCACGGAAAGCTCATTGCATGTGCCTCTCAGGAGCACTTGCGGAACAACATTGAGAGGAAGGAATTTCCATGTGTTCAGATCCAGTAACCAGCATTGCAGATCAGAGACATTCAACACAAACAGTGACTTAACATGGTAAAAGAAAATATTTTACCATAACATCACTGCTTCAAACTGTTCAAATGATTTTGTTTCTTTCCCTGTGCCCTGTCTTGGAACATGTCCACATTTTTCATGTAGTTTAAAAATCATCATGCAGACAATTTTCAATAATAATACCAGACATTGGTGTTGTTATTGGTATATGACAAGTAGAGCAGGTAGCAGACTAGAATGTTGATGATTCATTGGCACTAGAGCTGTCATCAGGCTCTTCTTGGGCAGGGTGGTGCATATGTGTAATCTCAGCTACTTGGGAGACTGAAGCAGAAGGATGTTAAGTTGGAAGCCAATCTGGGCAACTTAGCAAGATACTATCTCAAAGGAAAAAAAATTTAAAGTGCCTCCTGTGATCACTTTACATCTCCTACTGTAATGATGATAATTATGATTCTTTGAGAAGATGGGACCTGCCCCAGCCTTTCTTTTTGTCTTTCTGTTTCTGTGGTGCTATGGATGGAGCCCATAGCTTGGCACATACCTGCAAGCACTCCACAACTTAACTACATATCTAGCCCTGAAATGTGAGTTTTTGTTATTGTGGTGGTTATTGCTTCTGTTGCTCCCTAGCCTCTCTTAAACCCACATAAAGGAATTGACTGAGAGTCACGTGACACTTCTACCCCTCAACACCCTCCACTTCTCCTTTCCTTCAGCCTCAACTTTTTTTTTTTAAACAAAAATTTGATTATTTTAACCTACTCGAAGAATAAGTTATACAGGGCTGGAGATTTAGCTCAGTGGCCTAAGCGCCTGCCTGGCAAGTCCAAGGTCGTGAGTTCAATCCTTGGTACCACAAAAAAAAAAAAAAAGAAAAATGTACACATTATAAGGAAATACCAAAAAATGTTAGCAAAAAAACAAAGTTACTTTTAACCTTATTGCATGAAACAACAACATTAAAGGTACTGGGTATTTTTGACCAATATTTTTTCATGATACGTATGATTGTATATAGCTGAAATTGTTTTAAATCTAAACTTACATTGTTTTTCATATACTATAAGCACTTATCTTATAGTATTACTATATAGTATATACTATAAGCATTTATCTTAACTTTGAACTTAGTGACTTTATAGTAGTATGACCAAGTAGCAGTCACCATTTTTCTTTTGACCAACATTTAGATTCTTTTCAAGTTTGTTATAGTCATAGTATACCAAGATGTTCATCTTTAAGCATCAACTCTTTTGAAATAAAAAGTTTCTCACAAAAAATTACTGCATCAAAGGACATATTTAAAGCTTTACAATTTTTTGATAAACTACTTTACCAAAACAATTGTTTCAGTTTAACTATACACTACACTGAGGGTTCGTTTTTGCACTTTGCTATTGTTTTACATGCAAAATAGTCTAGTTACCCAAATTCCTGGCTTAGTGGTAAGAGCAAGTTGTTTCCTATGTCTGTACTGGTCATAAGTATTCCTTCTGAAATTGTCTGCATCTTTTACTGGGCCTCTGACTATTTTCTTTACTGACCTATTAAGAGTTATTTTCAGATTTGATCTATTTTTGTAACGTTCAGTGAATTTCTGACCCTACACAGTGAATAACTTAAGAGCCGTAGTCTTATGATTTGGCCAGACTTCCTCCCAACATTCCCTGGCTCAGTGGGCCTACCACAACCATGCTCTTCCCTTTTCTGTGACAGGTGGTCTTCACGTTCAACCTGAAGTCTTCACCTAGTGCAGGGGAACTGATGTTTGTGGAGCGCTACCAGGAAGTGATCCAGGAGCTGGCTCGAGTAGAGCACAAGATTGAAAACCAGAACTCGGATGGCACTAACAGCACCATTCGAAGAACTGGTAGTGGCCGTTCAACTCTACAGGCCATTGGCAGCGCTGCAGCTGCAGGTCAGGCTTCTGTGCTACCGTCATGGGCGGTAGGGTAACTATCTGGGGGTGAGAAGGGTAAGGAGAGAAACCACTGAAATCACAGGCTTTTTATACTACCTGGCAGAAATCCAAAATAAGAATTTATCTTGGAAAACAGCAATCCTAACACATTGAGAGTAATCTAGCTACACCCAACCTCCCTGACCAAATATTCACGTACTTGCCACTCAGGCTGCCCCAGTAAGCTCATCCTGTTGCTAAGGAGCATGAACTATTCCTACTGTGCATTCTGCGGCCACTCTCTCAGGCTTCAAGAAGTGGTTGAGTGAGGGGTGTAGCTCAGTGGCATAAGCGTGTGCCTGGCAAGCACAAAGTCATGAGTTTGAAAAAAAAAGGAAGTGGTTGAGAGTTCGTTTCCTTCTTATGTAATTATTCGGAAATAAAACTTGTTAGGTCACTGTTCCTGAAGTGTTCAAATTGTTTTCTGACATTTATAGCCTGAGAGCCACATACCTCAGGTCTTAGTTGTGGCTGTACTGCCCAAAAGCTCATTTTTCATTATTTCTTGGAAATAGAATCTTGTCATATATTTTCACATATGTTATTGGTCTAGCTCTAAGTTACCATTACATGTTATTCCTTACATAGCCTCCCAAGAGTTTTCCATACCTACATAAAAAATATAGGCACATTCTTTTTGTATTTGTGGTAAAAAGACTCTTGTAACAAATACTATGGTCTACCTTGCTTTTCTAAGATGCGTTTTAAAGATCTTCTCTGACCAGAATTTACAGATCCATTTCTTTCCTTCTCAACCTGCTTTTACATCCAGTTTCAAAAAAGGATTCCTTGGTCTCAACTGTTCTGAGTTTCTCTCGCCTTTGTCTTGAGACAATGAGAGTGGGCTATAATGGTGATGTTAATATACATAGATCCTATGCAGAGGAAGCACTGCAGTCTAAAATAACTACTTCTGATAATAAAAGTAACAAAGTGATCTTAACCCCTTGCTTTTTACTCCATTGCTGGGTGTCCAGGGATGGTATTTTACTCCATTTCTGATGTGACCGACAAGCTGCTCAGCACCTCCGGAGACCCCATCCCCACACTCCAGGAGGACTTCTGGATTAGCAACACTCTGACAGAGCCCAGCACTCCCCTGAGAGAAGTTCTAGAAGACCTTAGTCCCCCTGCCATGGCTGCGTTTGACCTAGCTTGCTCTCAATGCCAGCTCTGGAAAACCTGCAAGCAGCTCTTGGAAACAGCTGAACGGCGTCTGAACAGTACCCTGGAGAGCCGGGGTGAGTAGGCTGTGTTAGCTTTATACCTGCATTCTGAGGTGAGGAGCCAACCTTCTGAGAGATGTGATAATCTGTACAAGAAAGTTGTTTTTAGGAAAAGGAGGACGAAGAAAACTTTTACTAGTTACATGCGCTCATGTCTGATATGATGTCATAAAGAATCTGTTGAAACTCTCACATTCTTAGAAGGCATAACAGGCTGTAGTCACTTGGGAAAGTTCTTTTCTGGTTTATCACTAAATTCAAAGAAGCAGTATCCATTAAAAGTTGGTAAAAGTGGAGGCCAAATACATAGATTAGAGCAGGTGCTTAGCATGTGTGAGGACCTGGATTCAATCCCTAGTACAAAAGGCTAAATAAATAAATATACTTTTTTAACAAAAAAGAACAAATGGAGTTTTGTCTTTAGACTACGTGCCCCCTCCTGGGTGAACTTATTCACCTGAAACCATCATGAATCTATAAACAAGGTATAAGAAAAACTCAGTTGGAGATTTAACTCAGCGGCATAAGCACCTGCCTGGCAAGCACAAGGTCAGGAGTTTGATTGCTGGTTAACTCAGAGGGGTATAATTGGAGGAAGAATCATTCCTTCAAGTTAGCAGTGTCTCAAAATGTATATATGTATTTTTAGAAAAATCAGTATATGAATGTAAATTTAGGCAATTAGAGAAGAAAGATAGGTCTCCAGTTCAAGTCCGTAGCTGAGGGTAGTATCAGGGCAGATCCCTAAGAACTACCCATTTGATCCAGGCAGCAGATTCCTTCAGAGTGCCAGATTCTGAATCTGCTGCTCTTAATAGCCCAACTCAGGTTGTCACCCAAAATGACACATGTATTTCATCCTTAATATTGGAGAAGCTAAATTGCAGAAGATATTAAAATACTGAGTTTCAGTACCTGAAAGCACCTCATATTTTCTGCATCCCCTCTTATTTCATCTATTTCCAGGTCGGCGGCTAGACCAAGTACTCCCCAGTGCTGATGGCATTCGAGGGTTTCCAATTGTTCTTCAGCAAATTAGTAAGATTCTTAATTACCCACTTGTGGCAACTGGTCAAGCGAAGTCAGGTAGGTTGCCCCTTCCCTTTTTTTTTCCCCTCCTTGAGTTGGACCATTAGATGGGCAACAGACTTGACTTCATCTTTCTTTGTCTGTTTTTCATAGAGAGTGTGGAAGAAAAGGGAGGAGCCCCTCCCCGGTGCAGCATCACTGAGCTGCTTCAGGTGTGCTGGCCCAGCTTGACTGAGGACTGTGTTGCCATCCATACCACTCTCTCGCAGCAGCTGGAGCAGGTCCTTCAGTCACTGAGAGAGGCACTAACACTGCCAGGTACGGGGCTGTCTGCTTAGGGGCTCATGCAGACTGGGGCTCAGCTTCTGAGCTGAAACTTAGAACTCCATACTGGGCTCCAACAGCCCTTTAGTTAGCCAGGTCATAGCTCAAAACTGAACTTTACCTGTGGCCCCTCCTCACATCGAATGGATGGCTAACAGTCCACTGGCCTGTACATGTTCTCATTCCTGTTGAAAAGTATGCCCAGCAGTTGCTTGATAAATACTGATCAAACCCTTGCAAGAGATTACTGTGCGCTTCATAAGCTATTTAATCCTAGAGGAGCCAGGGTGAAAACCCAACTGTATGTCTTTGATTTGTTCAGACTCAAAGTTCTTCCTGACTAGGAATTGCTTATCTAGATAACCAAATTAGAATTTTATGTCTCCCTTGCAAGTACAGTGTCCAAACTACATGGTACCCTGTGCATTATATAATAGTCTTAGTTTTACATATTGGCTCAGAAGTTGACCCAGTTCTGAGTGCACAGACTAAATCCTGTGTCCCTTCCTCCACCATAACCCCTCTCAGAGGCCAGGAGTACTCCACTTTCTTCCCTGGTGGAGCAGGCATCTCAAAACACTCCTGAGGCCGAAGCCCACCCTGTGTACATCCAGACTCAGCTCCTGCAGAAGAATCTGGGCAAACAAACCTCAGCAGGCAACAGGCAGACTGACTATTTGGGCAGCTTCTTCAGCTACTGTAGCACCTTGGCTGCTATCCTTCTTCAGAGTTTGAGCTCTGAGCCTGGTAAGTAACAAGAAAGAGAAAACAGAAGTAGAGCTGGCCTGTAAGTACATAGTACAAGGAAAAAGAATGGCAGGCTATTGAGAGATTCTGGGATTTAGCAGTAGCCAAGGATACTTATGTATTGTTATGCTAAAGACAGTTGTACAGCACATGGGAGTGCTCAATAAAATCTCACAGAATTAATGACTCATAACTATCTCTGTCAGACCTTAGGTCCGTTACAGATTTGAAGACCTAATAGAGGGGCTGAGTTTTTTAAATGCCATATTCTTATCTGAGTGCTCAGAGCAAGTACAGTGCAAGCATATATAATCTGAAAATTTGAAATTTTAAATGTTCCAAAATCTAAACTTTTTTGGAAGCCAGCCTGATGTCATAAGTGGGAAATTCCACATTTGACAGCTTACAGTTAAAATACATTGCATAAAATTATCTTGGGGCCACGTGTATAAAATGTAAATGAAACAGAGGAATTTCGTGTTTGGACTTGGGTATCCTCCCCATGATGTCTCATTATGTATATGCAAATACTCCAAAATCCGAAATATATCTGGTCTGAAGCACTTTAGATATGGGATAGTCAACCTGTAGAGCATGCAATTCATTCAAGTTGAAGTGAATAAGAGTCAGTTCCCTATGGCTGGACCTCCCACTAAATTTGTCTAGGTTGGAAATCTTTAAAACAGTGGTAAGGTGTAGAGACCTTTGTGATCAGGTCTGTTTGTGGTGAGGGTCATGTTGAGAATGTCCGTTACCTAGCATGAATCACATCAGAATTCCCTTTACCTGGTTCTCCATGTTGTCTTCATGTACTTTTTTACTGATCTTGGGAAACGAGGTTCTGAAATGTTACAGTCAGTAGCATAAACAAAGGTCAATTTCTCTACCTTTGCAGAGCATGTGAAGGTCAAGGTAGGAAATCCCTTTATTCTCCTGCAGCAGAGTCCTTCCCAACTTGTGTCACACCTCCTGCTTGAGAGACAAGTTCCCCCAGACAGGTAGGAAGCACCCACATGGGAGGTGGCAGATCACTTCCTCAATAAAGCTTCACTGGGTTGTGCTTGGGGTCACGAATGACTTTGCTCTTGCTTTGTATTTTATGCAGTGTGTTAAAATTCAGTCTGTCTTTTTCTCTCTTACTACTGCTAACACATCCGTTGCAAATACGAGGGTAACAGATGAACCTTTACTTATATATAGGGCAAAAATCCAAACATTGGATAACAATACTTGTATAGGCTGTAAGACAGTAAGCATCCTCAGGGATTGTTGGTGGGTTATAAGCTGGTATAACCCCTGTAGGATGGCCAGGTTACAAACTCATATTCCTTTTGATCTAGCAGTCCATGTTGGGGAACTTACCCTGTAACTTTATTGTACATATGAAAAGTGATATATATACAGAGATCAGAAAACCCCCACTATTCACTAATAGACAAGTTAAGTTATGGTTAGTGCACATAACGAAATGCTGTAAGAAGTCATGGGGATCCTTTCTGTAGACACATTATTAAGCATAAGGCAGAGTTGTATGTCTAATAAACTCAAGTGTGGGTGTGTGATAAAAAGAAACAGACCAGGCATGGTGGTGCCATACTTAGGAGTCTGAGGCAGAAAAATCACCATAATTTCAAGCCCATCCTGGGGTTCATAGTGAGTTCAAGGCCAGCCTGAACTATATAACAAGATCCTATCTCAAAACAAACAAACAAAAAAACCCTTACTGCCAGGCATTGTGGCACCTGCCTGTAATCCCAGCACTCAGGAAGCTGAGACAGGAGGATTGTAATGAGTTCGAGGTCAGCCTGAGCTATATAGAGAGACCCTTTCTTTATACAAAAACAAACAAACAAAAAAAAAACAAACAGCGGGTTCAATCTCCAGTACTGCAAAAATAAAAAGAGGGGAACAACTGCTTTTATTTACATTCGCTGTGTAAGCATAAAGAAATTGTAAGGTTGTTGATGATGTCTGGTCCTACATACTCTTGCTTTTCTCCCTCTAGGCTGGCAGCCCTTCTGGCCCGAGAAGGTCTCAGTCTAAGTGTGCCACAGGTTATTGTCAACTGCTGCTGTGAGCCCCTTACCCTTTGCTCCTCTCTGCAAAGCCAGCAGACATCATCCCTCCTGACCCAGCTGGGTATCCTGGCCCAGCAGTACACCTCCCACTTCCTGGATGACTTTCCTCTTTCTGCACCGAGCTCCCCTAGGCCAACTGAGAATCCCACATCAGAGAAGAAGCACTGCTCCAACCCAAAGGACTCATTATCCCCAGGCCTCACCTCCTCTGCCTTGGCCTTCCTTAAATCCTGCTCGAAGCTACTAGCTACAGTGGCCTGCCTTGGGGCTTCCCAGGGGTCAAAGGTCAGCAAGCCCAGCTTATCATGGAAGGAGCTTCGTGGACGCAGGGAGGTGCCTCTGACTGCAGGGCAGGTAGCCCAAGAGTGTGAGCATCTGCTGGAACAGTTCCCTAAACTCGAGGCCTTCCTCTTGGCTGCCTGGGAGCCTCTCCATGGGTCATCTGAGCAGGGCAAGAGTCTGGCAGCCAGTCTGTGTGGTCAAGCCAATCTCTCTACTGTGCTCTTGGGCCTGCATTCTCCCCTTGCCCTGGACGTGCTCACCAAAGCCTTTGAGGAAGCTCTGGTGGCCAGAGATTGGCCACGGGCCCTTCAGCTCATCGAAGTGTATGGGCGAGATGTGGATGGTCTGAGTGACATAAGGGATGCAGTCCTGAGCTGTGCAGCAGCATGCGGTGAGCAGAAAGCTGTGCCTTTGCTTTTCACTGGTAGTAACAGTAGTATTTAGCATTCCCTGTGAGTTTATCACCACATGTAATTCCCATAGTTGCTCTAGAGAAAAATGCAGGTAATCTCATTTTATGGAGAGGAGACCAAGGCTTAGAGAAGTCAGGGAATTTGCCCAGAGTGCTAAGTGGTGGAGGAGCTTAGAACCCAAGTCTGTCCGACCTTAGAATGGGCATCTGTAACAGTAATCAGTGCGCTCAGTCCTGCTTATCAGAGTCATTCTCAAATTCCATGAACAAGTAATCTGGGTATCACCCTTAGA